AAAGATTCTTCACGCAGCTGTTGTTGGCTTCAACAATCACCTGTTTGAAAATGCTGGAGTCTGAGACTGCTTCCATATCATCAGGCTTAAGAGTCATTCAGGGATCCAGGCTCCGTCCATTTCTGCACCCATTTATGCTTTTGGCCTCCACAGCAATAAGTATCAGAATCTAATAATACGCTGCGTGAAAAGCTTTCAACTCAGCCTCCATATCCACATGCAAAACCAAGCCTAGCTACTGACATTCCTATTGGTTTTTTTGCTCAGAAAAGGCTAAACGCCCAGAAAACACCTTCCCCCAACAAACATCTGACCTTTCTGTAGGTTTGCCCTCATTATATCATTTAGAAAGTACTTGTGACCAACTGTTACTAACCTTACCTAAAACTCTGAATTTATTTATCACCTGCTCTCCCTATTGTTACTTATTCAGGTAAAGGGGGCCAACAGGCTTCTGCAAAACTTACTGTAAATGTATATAGGATTTCTTGCTACAGAGCAGCAATCTTGGATTTAATTTCTCTACGAGGCAGCCAGGTATAGAGACGGACAGTCCATTGATGGGAATATCCTTAGTATATAACTGCCTTCCTTTTAAGTCCATCCATCCATCCCTCCCCTTAATCCACAAATCTCATATTTCTATTGCAGAACAAAAGATGCTTCAGGAACCACAAGCATACATGTACTCTAACAATACTCACCAAGCACCGCACACACCAGTGGGCGACATGGCAGATTCTTGTCTGCTGCTTTCTTCCTATGTCTCATTGGCTTCAAACACACAAAGATGAAATGAAGTCAGTAGAAGCCTGAAGTGACATTCTGTGTATTACTGAGTTTTTCATGCAAATAGTACGATCAGCACAGGCTTCCCTTTCTCTTTTTCTCCAGCTGGTATCTCACCTATATTAATCCTAAAGGCCATGGCTGGAGCAAAATTGTGCCCGCTTTTTAGCATTCTGACCACTTGGTTTTTGTTTCTCTAGCTGTGTAACTGGAGGGCATTGTTGTATCACGGGGGAGTGGGGGAAGAGAAAAAAAAGAAGGGGAAAAAAAACCCCACAACCAACAAAAACCACACACAGCAATTCCTTCCCCTTGGTTAACATACTGATTTGCTCCTGACCCAGAGGTCTGATCTGCATTCATAATAGCATGTGAAGTGTTAAATGGCTTTGGTCTTTATTGTAACAGACCAGAATAGCTAATTGAATGGCAAGTTTGTTTTTAAGTGGGAATGACTAGCATCCTGCAGTATGCTCACTATAAAATAAGATGTTTGTTTCTGTCCTGGACTAGTGACACTTTCAAGTGCTGCTTCACTGTCAGATGAGGTGGAACTTGCCAGTACCACAAAGACAGAATACATCAAGTTAGGATAACCATTCAAGTTACTTATAACTACAAAGCTTCATGAGCCAGGTAAGGACGCTTCCTCCACAAATAGGTATAGAAAAGGAACTCTGGAAAAAATACTTTCCTCCTTGAAAATGAGTCACCCCACCCAGGATAGAATCATAAGCCAAATTAGAGCACTCAGTGGAACTCCAGGTGGCTATTAATATATCACATAAGGGCTAACGCTTGCTGAAGATTAAGGCAGAACATTCTCTCTGCCACTGGTTTCCTCAGAGACCTCATAATACACAGCTCCTCCTCAACTACACAGGCCTCTGAATTCACCGACAGGGCAACCAGCTCTTTGTTCTTTGAAAGAGTGAGACAGTCTGAGAGCGATTTCAAAATCATTCCACAACTACTGCATTTCTCACAGTATTTCCACATGCCTTAGCAATCTAGGTTAGATGTCTGTGACACAGTTTTCAACATACAGGGACTCAAATCCTCTGTGTTCTCATCCCAAAGAGAAAACAGACCATCTGGAGGAAAAGACTCACCATCCTGTGTAGGTTTACTCGAAAATTCATGTTGTCATCATGGAGAAAAGCGTTAGCATACTGATCCTATTGAAAAGAGCAAGAAAAGGGAGAAAATATGAATAGTCAACCAAGTGCCCAACACCTTCCACTTGCCTCTCAAATCACATGCGTTTCAGTGTAAAACTCCCAACATACAGCTATAAGGTTAGAAAGCCACCTGTCACCTCCTCTTGTCCCCACCCACGTCTCCAGTCACACAAAAGTAAACCCCTCCTGATCCCAATTCCACTTCAGTTAAGTCTGCACTACTGCTTGTTTTATTAGCAATTTATTTTCCATTCTCCTCCTTTGCCCATTCAAACTCTGGACTGCACATACCACAGTGTCAAAATTTTAACAAGTGCTGTATAATGCGTGAGGTGGTTCTCCAGCACACAAGTCCCTGTGACTGTGCGGACAAAGGTTTATATTGGCGTTTTGATGGACCCATCACGCCAGAAATTACTGCAGTACTAGCAGGTAGGTTTATCAGCTGTTCCACCCCCCAGGGAAAGCTCATTCCAAGACCAGCTCTAAATCAAAGTGATTCCTCCAGATAATGCACAGCCAGGTTGGGTAATAAATATACCCTCCCTTTAATACCAGAACTAAAACATGCCCTTGCTATATAGAAAAAGAATTTCTTATCTTGTATTACATATGCATCCACCTGAAGAACTCAAGTGCCAAAAACATTTAATTATAAATATGCAGATGATTAGCTTTCAGACTGCACCCTGAAGAAACATTACATCAGAATCCTTACACTGGCTATCAACACCGCTGTTTTTTACTCTTTGTTAAGAATAAAGGCGCTTTACTTGCAAGTAAGCAAAATGCAAATGCCATGCAAACTCAATCACCATTCAGGACATCAGTCAAGCCATCGGTAATACTTCCGATGAGACAGGACCACATTCAGCCAGGACTGCTGACATAGCTCTGTGATACTGCTTTCTCACCCTACTACCAGATTTGCTACTTGTCTTGTTTGTAGGGACCTACAACCATGCAGCTTTCTTTCAGACTTGTATCCTTCTTAGGCAGAAGGGATACAGCATTGCCCATGTTTTACCATGAACAGCATGGAATTGAAAACCATTAGCACATTACTCATCTAAAAGCCACACCACAAGGTTACTCAACAGCTAAGAGAGAAAAGGCTTAGGTTCACTCCTTTCTCTCTTCATCCTTGGGAGTTGGCTAACCCAAATAAGATGATCCAGTTTTCAAGTTTCAAGTCAATTTTAACAGTACTGCATCAGGTTTATTAGCAAAACGTTAAGTGCCTGAGGTCCTCGCTACTCAGTACCACTGTGGATTTTCACTCCTGGTCAAAAGGAAGCAAGGGATGTTCATGCAGATAAAGCCCTGTAACACACCATCTATTGAACACTGTCACACAAGAAACCTACCTCTGCTATGCATGTCAGGATTATGAGACACAGCTTGCCACTGTGTAGCCGGTGCTCATCTGCAAAGAAGAAAAAACAAGTCCTGCATGAGCCACACAAGCCTACCAATGCTGAAGAGTGAGATAGCTGTTGCAGCAAGAGAAAAGCCCAGCCTTGGAGATTCTTCATAATCCATCATAGCTAATAGTCTAACTACTCTCATTAAGCACTCACCCTCCAGCCTGACCGCTAAATCCCACCAATTTTTCACCAGTCTACACCAACAGCAAAGTTTCTGATTTGAACCTCCAGCAGCACTGTAACTATCAGTAGGGCTTCTGTCTCATCCAGTTTTACTTCCACAGATATTCTAAATACTGGGGTTAATCCCTGTCTTTCTGTCACACACACATAAACAAGATGGAAAGAAAAAGATCACCTTTGCTGTAGGTTATGAAACAAGCAGCAAAGCTTTGGTAGAGGCACAGCACAGTGTAGCAGAATGACTCCCGACATGCTCCAAGTCCTGAGTTTTAGCCCCAATACTGAGAGACATGACCTAATTTGCTCTGTGCAAAATCATGAAAGAAGGAAGTCTGCAAAGACTTAGCATTTTAAGCCAAAGGAGTTCTACCCTGATCATGTTCCACAACTTGTTGTTTATCTTACAACTTCAAGCAGCTTTTGCCCTGAATGACAATTGGAGGGCTGAAAGACTCACAAATAGAGAGGAACTAAGGCAGAAAAATGCAATTTTTATTTGGATTATTTAAAACTCTTCTCTCTCAATTTTAACCTTGAAATACCAAAAAACCAAGATACATACAGTCATAAAGTAACTTAGGATGGAAGAAACATCTGGTCCAATCCTTGCTCAAAGCAGGGCCAGCTAAGATCAGGTTGTTCAAGGCATTGGCCAATCAAGCTCATTGAAAAATCTCCATTCTAAAAAACAAACCACTCACACCACACACCCCCAAAACCACAAAACCAACCAAACAAAAAAGAAGCACAAAACATACCTATAACTAAATTCTGAGGAAGCTTAAAACTGCACGTTCCTGAGACCTCCAACAGCTTCTTTAAAGCGTAAGACTACTAAACATGCCATCCCAGACATCTGCCTTAGAGTCAAACTTGGAGGAGAGGGAAATCAGAAACAGTCAGATCACTTTCATATAAATCAGAAGACAGCATCAGCCAAACTGCTTGCATCTTTGCAGATCGCTTTTACAAACACTTTGCTAGTTAGCGTGTATATGATAATCTATAAACATAGATAGAGTGGGCTTAGATAGCTGTTCTGTCTAGTTTGATGCCTCTTTTGTTTTCTTTTCTATGCTGCTGAGGGACAGATATTTACTAACAAGATGTGCCCTGAAGTGTGCTGATTTCATCTTGCTGCACTAAGTAAGATGAAGAGGAATTTTGGAATGGGAGAGTTAAAAGTCTCTCTTATGTTTCCTTACCTCAGCTAAAATGTTTAAGTGAAAAGTTTTCTACCCCAACAAGGTAGGAGAAATGGCTCCAAAGAATTCTGATACAGTGGAGCCTTGTTCATTTCCTATTGTAAGGCCTCCCTGTATATTTTTGTAAGTGCTGCTACCACTTCTCTCTCTGGGGATCATGCTGTAAAGGCTCCTGTTTCACACCAAGTACTCTGCCTTCAGCCAATGTGTTGTGAACATCATGCCATTTTCAGCAGTTACGGGGCAGCTATGCAGGCAGTTACTTGCACAGACACTTCATACTTTCACAGCATCCTTCATTAAAGGAACAAAGCAGACCACTTCCTACGGGGAGGTATAGCGGTATGAACCCTATTTTACAGATGGGAAAGAATGATGCAAAGTTTTTACCTCTCCCAAGGCAGCTGCCTCTGACTGACACAAGAGAGAAAACAAGAGGAGTATCTAGCGAATGCAATCTGTTAAATTATGCTCTCTGGGACAGGACCAAAACAACTGTCTAGTCCTGGATGTGGAACAAACCAGTCTCCCCTCTAAGTGTTCCCACCTGTCTCAAGACACATGGAGTAAATTAGAGTTATTCATTCTTCTTTTCTTGTTGCTATATTGGTGTCACATGCTTGGTCTTACATAAGAAGAAAAAGAGTTAGGCAGGGCCCCATCTATCATCAAAATGTAAGGACAGGAATCTACCCACTAGAATTAATAAGCACTGGTTTGGAAAGCACGCCTTTTTTAAACGATCAGTCAGTGGAGCTCATTGCCACATATTACCATGGCGTCAAGGAGATTAAGTCTATAAGCCACACAAATTTCAAATGTTATACAAGCTAGAACCAAAGTAAAGGAAGAAACATCAACTCCTGTCTCATACCAGAATAAATTCATCTTTCACTGACTTGTTTAGCAAGGAATCCCCTCTATCAGATTTCACTCCATCTGAAACTAATCCAGTTGGGCAGGTCCTGAGGCCCTATGCAGACTTTCCATATTACAGTGACTAATAAGTGCAGAAGTTAAATTGAAAAACATAAAATTGTTCCATCAGAGACTTGGATCAGCAAGAGAGACCCGAGAAAAGCAAATTAGAATGATGAGAGAGCTGGTAAGCCCTCCTCCTGTGTACAATCTATAAGAAATGACTGAGCAAAGATTGAGGTGGTTTAGCTTGAAGACAAAAGCAAGAGGAAACATGAAAGCAGACTTCAAATACATAAGGGCTGTCACAAAGAAGAAAGAAATAATCCGTTCTCAGTATCTATCTTGGAGAAGATAACTAGTAATTAATTTAAACCACAGCAAAGAATTTAGGATGCACAGGAAGCTTTGTCACAATAAGGGTAGTTAAACATTGGAATGGATAGTCTAAAAATGATGCTCCACTATCGGAGTGTCTTCATCCAACCTGTTAGCAACATCTCTGAGAAAAGATCAGGTAAACCTGATTCTGCCTTAGTTTTGAGGGGTGTGCTAGATAGTTTCATGAAGTCCCTTTTGGTCCTAATTTCAATTATTCACTTTTTCCTCAACTAGCTTGCATACTGAACAAGAACAAGACAGTCAGGTACAATTTCACTGCAAGCTAGTAGGTACAAGGAAACTCTCCTGCCTGCTCTCTTATTCAGTGCCAAGTATTCATGAAGTTCAATGATCGGATGTATCATAGCTCTGCAGCTATCCTCCCATTTTTGTTCAGTTGTTACATCTAACTTAACAGGAAAAGTCAGTAATAGGCTGAAATACGGTACAAAGATCACTTGTTATGTTCAGACTATAGTCCTGCCCATACAACCACTGGGCAAAACAGCACCCTTGGGTACTTTGAGCGGGAGATGAAGCAATACTTCAACTCCAGCAAGCTGAAATTAACCCCCACAAAACTATCAGGAAAAACAAAAAGCACAATATGGAAATATATCTTCTCAAGCAAATTACTGCCAGAACAGTGTAAGTTACTGCTGTCCTCTTTATAATTAGAGCTGCCTGTTTAACCACCAAGTACCAAAGGACAAAGGAAATATTTCTTCCTAATGCTAAGTTTTGCCTCCTGTGTCAGCTTCTAAATGTTCTTAAAAATACAGTTCTCCGGTTCGTGACTTCCCCTCTCTCACAGACAGTTGGGAATCAGATATGCTCACACCTCCTGCATAGGGACAGGCTTGGTTATTAGGTACTATTATTATTATTACATTCTTTCCATATTTGGCTTCTCTCCTGCCAACATAAGGTCTCTCCTAGTCTCATAACTCTTACCTTGCAATAAGAAATCATTTCATTTTCTCAAAAGGTGGAATCTTCAGTCCTCTAAAGGGACTCCAGTTAACTTCTATTTCTGGAGTCAATGGACATGTTCTTATGCCCTCCTGACTTCAAGAAGCACTGCTTGCTGCATCCACAGATGCATCAACAGAATTTATTTACCTTTTGTGTCCTGCATCACAATCGAGCTGTACTTCAAGAAGGTTATCAGCAGGTTGCTAGTTTGCACATCAGCATCCAAAGGCAGCTCTGCAGAGCTTATAACTGAAACAAAGCAGATAAGACACGTTTACTCTCCACAAATACAAGAGACAACTATACAGAGAACCAAGTGACAGACTCACAGATCTGGGATAGGATCAGCTTATTTGCAGGGTCACTTGACCTCCTCTTCCTTCATGACCCCCCAGCAAAGATTATTGTTTTAAAGACTGGTACCGCTCCCCCAGAGACCATTTCTCCTCCTCTAAGTATAGGTTGTGGTACAGGCAAAATGATACCCTTTCTCCGTTCTGCCCCCCTCCTTCAACCCCAAGGGAGACCAGCCTGCTGTTTTAGCACTCATCAACATTCCCAACCCAGGGAGCTTAAGATATTCTCACCAATATCCAATCAATTCTTACAACCAACACAGCTAACATTCACACCATTCTCAGTTTGGAAAGAAACATGCCCAGCAAAGACCCTTCTCAGTTTCAGCAATTTTGGAATTTCAGTTCCAAAAGGTCCACATGAATTCCATTCTTCCCTCCCAACAACAGTCTCTGTTGCAGAAGCAACACACAAGACAGTAATGTAACAATTATTGCATGACCAAATAGTAGAAAAGAGAGGTAGAAAGAGCAGCTTTATAAAAATCAAGAAGCAGAAGCAATCATAGCTTGTGCTAGAGAAATTACAACACAGCAGGGAGCAGAAATGTACTTTCCATACCTGCAGCAGAACAGCAGTTCATTGGCATTTCGCTAGGATACACTCCTTGTTACCACCAGCTGTACTTTTGACACCTTAACACTGGACGTCATCTGCCTTAGTCTCTATAAGAAGCTATCTCAATTACTGAGCTAATTGCACAATGTGCCTCCTGCTCACTCCCCATGTACCATCTGAAGCACTGAGTTTATAAGCTGTCAAACCTCTATCATGTGACTGAGCCACATTTTTACTGATGACTGAGCCTGAGCTGTCTGCAAAGGCCATTCTCAGCCTCCTCATTCAGAAACGCTTTATGAGGAATATTGAAGCGGGGGGGGGCGGGGGGAAGATAAGTGGGAAAAATGCAGCATGCATTTACCTGCAGATCCTGCCAGACAAGTCTGATATCGTTTAAGATAAATTAGCTCAGACAAAAAAAAAAAACAAAACAAAACTGATGGAGCTAGTCTAGGAAGACTTCAGTAAAGAATTTAATATAGTTCTGTATGAAAAATTAAGAGTGAAGCAGATAGGTGGGAACCAATACAGAAATTTAAAGTATATTGAAGATCTGGCAAAAGAGAAACAATTGGAGAAATTATTAGTCTGAGAAGAAGTTACTACTTGAATTCCTTAGGTGTCAGTTTAGGGAATAGTTTTCTTTTTTGTGAGTGACCTGGGCACAAGAAACAGTTGTTTGCTAATGAATCTGCTAATGGCAGAGAGTCGGGATATGTAAACAGAGAGGAATATCAGACTGCACGCAAAGAATGGGATAAAAACAAGGACTAGGTAATAAATACAGGATGATACTCAACAATACAAGCCATAAGGTCAAGAATTCAGGGATTTATTTCCATGGCAAGCTCAGAGGTCATCAGCTGCAAACGAAACACTGTGATACCATGGTACACTATCAGATCACGAGATGACGAGCTACCAGCACAAAGCACTGAAGAGTAAACGTGGTACTAAAACATATCCAGAAATGCACTTCCAGCAGAGATAGGAACACATTAATGCCCTGCACAAGATGCTGGCGAGACCTTGTCTCGAATACTGTGCATAATTATGCTGATCCCATGTTAAAAGGGGATGAACTCATACTTGAACAAGTTTAGAGAAAGGCTAGTAGAGTGCCCTTCTCATGAAGCAGCAAAATACACAGGCTAGTAACCCAATGTATGAAAAAGAGCTATCTGTGTTCCAAAGTAAGATTAACATCATGATAAATGGGTATAAACTGACAAGAAATGAAGGTTGGAAAGTTAAAGATTTCTAACCAAGGAACAAGATGCTGAAACTGCCTCCCAACAGGAATTATTGGGAAACAAATCTAACAAACTAAGACAGAGCTTGATAAATTTAGGGGCTTCTATGGTGATGTGCCTGCAAGCATGAGGCACTAGATTCAAGGAGTCAAGGGGAACTTTCCAGGTCTACGTGCCTGTCCTGACATGACTGTTAATACTACTGTTCTGGCTGACTAGGAGCTCAAACTCACAGGTTTTCACATGCAGGAGGTCATAGGTGGCTTGAATTACGATTGCCAGAAGGCCCTCTCTCTTCTCAAGCTATAAAGATAGCCTAAGATAGGGCTCCCTTTGCACTGCAAACAGATCTGCAGACCACTAAGACACACATCTTAAGAACTATATTATCCCTTTTCCATCTATCCTCAGGAATGTTCAAGGCTTTTCTCACTTCTGAGAAGTATTTTGGTTCAGAGAAAAGTCTGCTTTAACAAACCATGCCTTTCATAATTTAAGCCTTATATCTCATAACCCTGTAAAGAGGCAAGTAAGGTTTATTTATGCCTGGAACTGGGGCAAGCACAGGCACAGAAGGATGAAGGAGACGAACCAACAGTAAAATGCAGAATTCCTTAAACTGAGCACTGAGAGGCCCAGACCACAGCAGAGGTTCTCATGGAGCTCAGGATTATACAATCACGTTGAATACAAAGTTGTAGCCCTTGGAAACAACAGGCCAAATAGATCAATGTAACCTCAGTGTTCGAATCACATCAAAGAAATTATAATGGGGCTTTTAGCTTCTAAAGGCTGCACATCCCCAAGCGTGAGCTGTTTCAGTCGATTCGATCTTGAAGCTCTGGGGCTCCTGACACGTTGCTAACATGCCCAGTGTGTTGGCAAAGTCTATGCAATGAGACTGGAAGCTTTTTCACCCCCAATATTATGAATAGCTCAAAGATTTAGCTAAAAGTCTGAAAAATGTATTTATATCCCCAGCGGGTCCTTCTGGAGCTGTTACAATGAATGCAGTGAATGAATATTTAACAACAGTAAGCAAACTGACGTTTAGATAACTATGGTGACAGGCACACTTGATTTACCTATTACAGATCAACAGTTTCTAGCAAAAGTCTCATTTTCAAAAAAAAGAAGAAATCACTCTGAAGAACACATCACTGCTTATCCTGGTTCATGCTACAGACCTTGATTTTTTTAACAGACATTTTTAAACTTTAAAAGGCCTTAATTCACATTATAGGTTAACAGCCAGAGAAATTTCAAACCAGAATTTGAACCCACTTTTAATCCCAGTCAACATAAAAAGTGCCTGAAACCCATAGATGGATTTCTACATGTTGCTGTAACTTGAAAATAGCTCAACTACACTTTTATTTTAAATGCAGGAAAAAGAAGAAAGCAATCTTTTCATTCCAAAGCCAAAAAGCCTCTTGCTAACTCTCAGCCATAGGCAAATTTTACAGCTGAGTTGCAAGACCTTAGAAAATGAGGAAAATTCTGCCATACCTTTAAAATAACAGCAATACTAAAGCACCACAACTCAAACTAAACCAAGACGAGGGCCTCAAAAAAAAAAAAAAGTCACTGAGAGTAGGGATCAGCAAGGTGACAGCAAATAGAAATAAAGAATGCTTCCTGACGTAGTTGCTGCACATTAAGATCAGTTCCTTTCCTTAAACGTAGTAACTGTACCAGCAGCAAGAAGTCTCAAGCTTCACAAGATCACTGCCTCTGCTGAAAGCAGCAGGATAGAGTTTTTGTTTTGCTTTTGTTTTTTGGTAAATTAAAAAAAGAAAGTGCAAGCAAGCTGTAGATGTAGGTAAGCATAAATTCTGTCAGTTGTATAATATGGTGTGTGGGCGGATACATTTGCAACGAACACGTTGAACAGAAGCCCACAAAATGCCCATCGCTCTACATTTTATGTTATATGCACAGGGAGACTTGAGACACAGGGACTTTTTCACTGAAGCTTTTGATATCCATGGTAACCAGATAGAATTCATCCACAGGGAGGATCATCCTTAACCAGGATATCAAATGACCTGAATAGCTGATATAACTGAGTAACCCAGGATGCTTTTCCCAAGAAATATTTCCAAACTGTGCTCTATTCAAACTGACTCTGTTCCTTCATTAAACACTTTCTTCAGATCTAGAGGATGCCATTAAAGTATGTGACAACAGCCATTTGATTTCTTCTCTTAAACTAGGCTGTATCTATCCATACCTTAAACAAAAAGGTTTAATCATCTTGAAATCATCTAATTATTTTAGACGATTTCAAATCATATTTATGTGGACACGTAACATCTTATTTAGAAGAAAGATCTCGGGGCAAGCAGTCATTTACAAAGCGTATCAGAGAAAAGGCAACGAGAGGGAGGAATACTCCACATCCAGGTTGGATTCAAATCCCAATTAATTCAAAGCTGGGGACAAGCGCATTAATGACAACCAGGAATCCACTGCGATTCTCTGTAAATCTGTTCCAATGACAAATAATCCCAGGCAAAGAACCTGACACTAGAACTATTCATAAGTAAAAGCCTACATAGAATAACTAATGGGCTGGGTGTATCTTCATGCAGATACTGGGACAGTACTGTTTTCAGAAGGAATATCAGCATAATTTCACTGAGCAATATACAAGGCAAAACAGAAATAAATTCAAGTCAAAGAATCTTGCTCATGTTTAGTAAGGCAAGTTGCTCCAGGAAGAGACAATCAGGTTACATCTGCTCCAGAGAGACCTCATTAGTTGCCATCTTGAGAAAATGCTTTACTAGTTATTCTACAGTTTTTAATTGTTTTTCCCCAGGTGATCATTACATTTCTTACCATCTGAAGAAGGCGGGGTGGTTCCAAGTGGAGTGACAGGTGTCGCTGGAATTGGGCTTGTTGGTGTTGTCATCAGCCCCATTTCAGGATGGCTCTAACAGAAAACACAAATGCCCAGACATACACAGGTCAATAGCTTCCCCAGGCACTAGTCATACAGATCGCTACTTGTACTGTTCCATGCTTTCACACAATAGACATGACTAATGAAGTCTCAGGAAACTTCAATCTCTCCTCCAGAAAGCAAAGCTATGCTTCCTGACCTTGGACATCTACAATTAAACTGCACATCAATTTCCTTACTCCACAAAACATACAAATACATCAGAAGTGGGGGCTGTTCCCAGCAGACAGATAACATGCCTTTCCCCAGTGTAGAATGGGAAAAGGTACGCAGAAGCCTACACTGTTTATAGCTTCCGATTCCCCCCAAAACAACCCAAAGGGTGTACATTTGAAGTCTTCCTCCAAGATCCTTTTATTTCTCTTTCTAAAAGCAACAACTTCTCGCTCCTGCCCTCCACCTGTTCATATTCAAAGACGATGGCAATTTATTACTTCCTTGTCTCACTATAAAGCCCAGGCACTGTAGGAAAAGAGTGCATAACATAAATAACACTACCATTATCGATCCTCTCAGCTTCCATCAGTCGGTTACTCTCCCCATTTCATCTTTGCTAATAGTTGTCTGCCTAATTACTGCTTTGACTTTACTCTTTGTAAGCTTCCGGATCTATCCACACTGGTGAGACCGCAGGCAATCTGCCATGCTATTTTAAGTCTGGCTGCCAAGCAAAGTGTCCATTTCATAGGGCAAGTTTTACATAAATGTATCATTCGCCTTAATATATCATCACAATTTCAAAATAAAAAAAAAAGGGATACAGAACTGCTGATTTGACGTTAGTTCCGCAGGATTTTTCACAAGTGGATATTCTTCACGTTGTCTTTGAATATCTCATTTTACGAGCAACTATAAATGCATGTATTTTATGGGAAGCACAGACACACATACCACAACTCAAAGACAATATTAAATCATTACAGGCACTGATTTAAACTTTAAAATACAATTTTCCATTGAAAATCTTATATAAAACAGGTTTGCTTCCATAGATTTTGCTGTGGTGTTTACCTTTCTTTTCCCCAAACACTAACCGTCAGTTGAGAGATCACAGTGCCACCTAGCAGCAAAAACTGAGGACCAACAAGCCGGTGAGTATACAAAAACCTACACACTTCAGGCATCAACACAACTGTATCCCTGCTCCTCCTATGTGCCCACACAGCAGCAGGTAGTCATTCATGCAGTCCCTAGCAATGGACATCAACTTAGACAACAGCATTCATCAGCTTTTATGAGGTTTTTTTCAAAGGATAGCATGACCTACCTTGCCCTCTCTTAAATTAAGGATTACAGACAACCCACCCAAGAACATCAGGCCTCCACTTCAATTAAACCCACTGATCAGTGGCTGCTTCAGCTATCACTTTCACAAATAACTAGTTCATCCTTTTATTTTTAATTTAAGAGCTTTTACTCTAGCTGCTCTTTTCCTGCCCTGCTCTTTTCCCCGCCAAAGGCCTCTCTTGCCTCAGGGATATCTTGACCACAGAAAGGCCTGAGTTGGTATTACACAGAACTGAAAGAGCAGAAATCTCTCACAAGTGGTAGGAATGAATAACTTGGGAAAAGAGAGGCAGGGAACCTCAGCGAATTAACCACCCATGGAACAGCAGCTTTCTTCAGAGGCAGTAGATCTGCCTATCAGACCTCTTCCATCACCACTACTGTCCAAAGGTCTCCTCCATCAATGCAAGTGTCTAGCCTTGTGATGTATGGCTGCACTCTGAGGACCTGAAATAACTGGGGAAAGGTGTTAACTCTTGTTGATGTCATTTTTCTCACAGATTACCAGTAATACCTACAAGCCAAAATTAAAAGCTTAAACCTGAAGGTTTTCCTAAACCCATCATGCTATCCTTCCAGCCAGCCACAGCACGATCACCGAATCAGACAGACCCATTATCTGTCTCCCAGCAATGACTGCCTTTCCAAACTCACACTGTGTTTAGAAAAGCATCCAGATTTGTGGTCAGAGGTATGGAGCAGCCCACTGCTTCTCAGAAGGCTGCCATAGCTCTATTTCTTCACCATAAACAGCATAAGGAGGAGTGCTATGTTCTGGTGACAGTCTCCCAAGCAAAAGGGGTTGAGCTCTCCAAGGAAGTTTGGACACAAAACAGTATTTGAAACAACAGACCTCACATGCCTATTAGTCCCCACGCGAAGGATACTTAAACAAACAACAACATGCAGTCTGTGCACACCCAGACAAGGACAATTCATCCAGCTTTGGAGCCAGATCATACTCTTTCGCTCAACCCTAACTCATCAAGGGCACGAATTGCTCTGATAGTTGCAGCAACATTACCCCCACCAGTCCACCCACTCCATCTTCCTAAAGGCAGTACCAACAGGGCACAGAAGGCATTCCACACAGCCCTTCCCATTCAGTGGGAAAAATGGCTCATTGTAACATGAGCTGTGCCCTCAAAACTTTACTCATCTTCTGGCAAGGCAGGAAGCATTTCCTAAAAGGGTAATAAACGCAGGCCCTGGCCTGCTTCTGATCTTTCATGCCCATCTACCTATGACAAGTAGAAAAAAAGAAAACTTATCTTTTCACTGGTTCCATTTTTGACTTTCTAATTTCAAAGACATCCACTACAAAGAAATGGGCAAACACTGCACTGAAACTCACTTGTGCCAGAACAGTGATAAAATTCCGGTTTAAGTGAACAGCTTCATAGAGGGCCAGAAGGATTGCTTCATTTGTTCTGTAGAAGGGATACAGACAAAAGCACAGTTAGTTAAGGGCTAACACCAGATGAGAATCCCAAGAGCAAAGTTCTTCAGAAGCGTGGCCTATCTGAAAGAATAAATATTTTTTTCAACTCTATAAAACTCTGTCTCTGCAATCCAGTTGTTCTTCTGTTTATTAGTAGTACTTAGCAATCCATAAAAATAGCTATTTTTAGAGCTCAACTACAGTCTTTGTTCCCTTCTTGCTGAAGTTCTCCCTCATTGCTCAGTCTCAAACAGTGTTTTCCCTTTAAAGCCCTTTCTTTTAAGGGAAGAGGTTCCTACAGACACCACAAACCCTCATATTTATCACTTGCCCCCTTGATTTAGAAAACGCATTCTCGGGAACAAGAGTGCACAAACCATCACTTCCCATCTGTCACCTCCAACATGCCTATTATATGTTAAAAATGCCTTATAAAAACCACAGGGGTTTTTTTATACACTTCATCATAAGCAATTCAGCTGTGGCTCCTCCTGCTGCACCCTTCTCACTTAAGTGAGAATCCATTGATTGCAAAGGGGTGGTACCATTTTAGTTCCAAGAGAACCGATGTCTCTTTAGTTTGCTTTGCTACATTAAAACAGCTCCATGATGGAGCAGTTCATGTTGACCAGTGTGGTGAGTTGCCGTTCATTGTGGAACATCTGTGCACTTACTGGACTGAGATCTTCTCATCAGCATCTGCTATGAACATGCTGCCCACCTATGGAAAGAAAGAGTATTGCATAGGAGGAATTTATGAAAGCTATTAGACAGCAAGAAAGAAGACGGATTTAACTAAATCAGAAGTGCCCTGGGAGAGGTGTTCTCATCAAGGCACACACACAACTTTCTTTCTAGTACTAGTAAAATACAAATGGGAAACAGGATGCCCATCTACAAACACATTTTATGTTGCACTACTGTCATTGACCAATGCCTCATCTGTCAAATCACGAAAGAAAAAAAAAAAAAGAAAAAAAAACCACTGTATCTTGAATCCCAACCTGGATTAATCTGCAATTCTGTAAGGGGACTACAGAAATCATTTCCCATCTGCCTGGCCCAAAGCAATAGCAGTTTTACCCACGCCACTCCTGACAGACAGCTGCCAACACCAAACTATCCTTACTTACAGCAAGTTTTCCTGCCAGTTAGATCTCAGACTACAATTAAATCTCAGACTAAGGCAAAGCCAAACTGAACAAGGGGAACCGTGGATACTCTTTACAAGGAAGAAATCCACAGTTGCCTTTGGAAGGTACCCCTCCAAAATGCACACACTGCCCATTGCAGAATCCAAGCTTACTTCATAGCTACAGTGCACCCAGGCTTGAGAAAAAAAGACAGTAAAGAAACACATCTCTAAAGCTAGTGACAGACCAGACTTTACCACAAAAATATTCACCTTCTCTGTTTTAGGCTACATCAGCAGAGCAACAACTTGTTTTTAAAAATAAGTAGCTATTTAACTGTGTCCAACAAGTAATTGTGATTTTTAAAATAAAGTCAACTAGAATGAAGAAGATGAAGGAAAACAATTTCAACTATCAATGCCTTTGAAAGAGCTTTCCCAGCCAGACAACAACACGCTCCTCAGAATACAGCCATTTCAGTTGTATTTGGTTTGGATTGGATCAATGCATCTCCTCCTCCAAAACCCACACCCCAAACTCACAATTTTTGGAAACGCCCTCCTGCATAGAAAAACACTGCTTACCATATTTGTTAGGGCTGAGAAGAAACCACTCTGGTGCTCCTCTTCCTTATCTTTGTACTGCCTGAACAAAAAGGAATAAGGATGAAGCTTCAGGGTTAGAAATGGAACTAGGGTTATTTTGTCTAAATCCCTATGAGATAGTCTTATCTGATAAGGATACAGGATGGAGAAAGCTTCAACATTCACAATCCCTTTTCAAGAACTCACAAGAAGAAATGCAAAGGGTATTAAAATATTTGTAAATTGTGTAGAGTGGCTAACGCTGAAGGAAAGGGACTAAGAGACTTAGAAAATTTTGTCCTGCACTGGCAAAACAGTAATGAACCACATGAACACACAGAGTCAGTAACCAGAGAACAGTTTCATTTCAATCATCCACTACAGACTAAACCAGAGTCGATCACCCCATGGCCAGCAGAAACCATGAGGACCATTATGGTTTATGGCCTAATCCTGCCTGATCTCACATTCATGGAGTAAGTGAAGGGACTGGAACTGGAGTAAGTGAAGTCAACAAATAGGTTGGGTACCTCAGATTTAAGCTAAGTTGCTTCACTTGGCATTCAAATGGACTAGCAAAGCTCACACGGCCATTGATTGTGTCTTTCATACAGGAATCTGATCACACACAATGCAACATGCAAAGAAAACAAATCCAAATTTTCAGGGAAGGGGGAAAGAGCGAGCTAAGCAAAACAGGCCATAGGCTGCGACAGCTTTTGTCAGAATGAAGGAAGTTGGGTGGGTGAGGTTTTTTCTGCTTTACTCTAATAATTTACTCTATTAAATACATTTACATGATTTGCTGACTCGCACCATCTTGCAAGTCACCTGCGTATCTATAATAGCAGACCTCCAAAGGAATTAAAACATTTTTCTGGATACTTTGAGAATCTACTGCACAAAAAAAAGCCTTGGGTTGCTGAGGTGAAACTGCTCTAAGTTTCCAAATTTTTCTGAAGGACTTTCCTGTTAGGAAAACTTACACATTTTGTGCTGTTGCTTATGAAGCAGAGGCTGGGAACACGCTACCCATACTGCTGGCTTTCTGGCTCCTTCTTCAGAAGCAGTTAATGCTTTCCACCATTTGCAAAAGCATGCAATCCCTAATCATCTCTGATCTGGCATGTGGATAGTCCTGGATACATTTGTTTAGTTTAGATTGTGTTTCAGTTAAATCCATTTTCTAACAGGTAAGTCCTCAGCAAATCATTCACCTTTTCACTTGGGACTAAAATTTTACACAAGGTTCATACAGAGGTAAAATCCATGATAGTAAAAACATACAATAGATATCTTCCCCTACAGCAAGATCTCTCTTGAAGCTCATCAGCACAACTGGTACAGATGCATTTACACTTGCAATGACAGCGACAACTGAGCCAAAGTACCTCAAAGCATAAGACTATTCCCTGCCTCTCCAGGTGCATCAGGGCTGTTAGGTGATAAATAAGTGCTTTAACACAAAAAAAAGTTTGTGGAAACGTACAGCAACTATCATGCATTGAAAAACAAGAGACAATTAGGTTTTACCTGTTATATTCCGACAAAGCCTGGGTAATTACAAGTCCCATTCCCTGAAAAAAAGTGTTAAAAAAATCTTTACATTACAAGTCTCAGTGCAGCAAATCACACACTGAACGCACATAGCAGTGCTGCACTCCCCAAATTAACCTAGCATGCTATGAAGAATTTCCCCTGAAGCTGGTTGAACTATTAAGACATGCTATGATACAACAAAAACATCATTCAAAAATCAAGACATCAACATTTAAAGCTGAATAACTAATTACTAAGTTCAACAGCGAACATTTACTCTCCTTGGACCTCCAGACAGAGGTCCTCACTCAAGAAGCCTCAATAAAGCAGCAAGAACTTCAGAAGGAAGCTGGTGTCAGAGGAAAGACATCCAGAAGTCCAAAACAAAGACCATAAACACTAGTAACCTTTTCACTTCTTGCAAACAGCCTCTACCATTCCACAGCTACTGATCATCCTTTCTGTCAAGCTAATTTAATTAACTCAGAATAATCATTCTTGCCCTTTAGTTAGCATGGAGCTTGCTTTTTACTTCATGCCTAAAGAACAGCTTCTAAGTCCAGACCTCACATAGCTCATAGTGTGCTGCCACTCTCTGTCCAGGCCTGGATACAAACTCAGGCAGTGGCTACAACCCAAAATATGTTGCAGGACTCTTGACTCAGGTACAAGCTTCCACTGAGCTATAGAATTGACTTGTGGACTGGTAAAATTGGATGACACAGCACTAAAAATGAGATCTTCTTTGGCATAAGCTATCTTGTGTCTCTCTGGCACGTGACAGCAAGTAGCATATAGATAGTTCACCAACTTTAGCATGTTCCTTGCTACCTAGCTTTTTAACCATCCCCACCATTTAACTGGCGATCAAACTGTCCAAATCATGAGCTGCCTAACCTATTGCAAGAGTGCAGTTAGGGCAGAAACCCACTATACTGGTGTTGTTTACAGTAGCACTGTTCCTAGACTTTCTTTCTACCAGACATCATGATTGCGTTCATTACACTAACACCACACGTGAAAGAGCATCCCCAGGAGCACAGAGGAATCAAGTCAAATACTCACATTGAGTGTGGCCTCATCATCTACGATGGAGAGCTTCACAATGTAGGGATTCACTGACTGCTCAGGGGGCAGGGGGGAGAAGGAAGAAAGAAAATGGGTTTTTAAGTTCAGCCTTCAGGAAAAAAACACTATTATCTTTCCAAGTTTACCCAACCACCCGGGAAGAATCTCTCTCCTGTCCCACAAAGCAGAATACACACAAAGAAACAGGAGTCACAGCACATGCTAAGGCCGCTATGCCTGGGACACCTTCTCTTTACTGGCTCAGCCAGGCAGTCTCCTGATTTTATTGAGAAGAGAGGGAGTTTCTGTTCCTCCGCTAGCTCATCCATCAGTCTTAAAAGTGGAGCAGCTGTCCTGCAAGCCTGTTATCTGTGACACACACACTGTCACGCAGCAGGAACAAGCAGTGAAGCTAGGACTGAACGTTAGCGTTGTGATATCTCCCTTCTGCAACACCTTGCAAAGATTGCTTAAAGGAAGGAGGACCCAGGAAGGCATGACTGTTATAGACTCATCTGCTGTTGGGTCACAGCTCAACACTTTAACAGTTTACACCACTGAGAGCTAGAAGTCTCTGGAGAATATAAATTCCTTGAACTTAGCTGAACAAAACACACAGGCTCCATCTATAAAGATAAGTCCTAATAATTTAAGAAGCATTTTAGATTAGCAACGTACATTTGTTTTTCCTGGTTTATATGTGCCAGTGCAAAACTAACAAAGTTGATTTGGCACCAGGACAGAGAAGAAAAGGCTCTATGTATGTAGTAAGTCCGAAGTGGATGGGAAGAATAAAACACAAAGCATGCATCAGAAGCAGCTCTACAAATTACACAGTTATCCAACTGATTTGCCCACGGCTTGACAGCAAGTTGAAAATAAGGCTGATCAGAAAACACCATTTGCACAATTATTTGGTGCTTTGGGAGGATCAGGCTTTCTTTCAGTTTCAGGAAAGAAACTGATCAGAACAGACCAAAGCTCAGCCAGTCTGTCAGCCTGCCTCCAGCAGCATGCAGCCCTGTCTGCTGTCTCAGGAAAAGACAGAAAACTCACACAGAATCCATCTGTGCAAAAAGCATGCAAAGACATTTCCTTGAGGCTGGAGAAGAGGCTCCTACTGAGTAACAATATATGGTCCTCTCTTCACAACCATGCTCCCTTTCAGAAATTAAATTTAGTCAGTGTCAGTAAAGGAGAAGCAAGCTTCACGAATCTGTAATTAAATAGAGATTAAAATCCATCCTTGTAAATATATCTTAGTTTTGCTAATTTCAGTCATTCCCTTGCTCTCCTTATACAACAAGGAGAAACTCTTCACACCACAGCTCACACACAGAAGAGAGGCCAGCCTGTGACTCATGACCAATAAAAGTGATGGGGCTTTTCTGGGCAATGGGCAGCAGGGCTATGCTGGATTAGAGGCTGCAGGGTTATCCAAATTCCCAGATGGGGGGAGTAAGCAAGCTGGGAGATACTACACTGACCAACGCCACCAGGCTGCCCTGAGGCCTAGTCATACACTCCATCCCATCACAGAAAGGGAGGAGGAGTGGGTGTGTTGTCATCTCCAGCCTACGAACAACCCTTCATGCTCCCGTTGCCCTTGACTTTCCAAGATGCATGCTCCATGTCTCCTGCCTCTTGGCAGCAAGATGTCATCAGTGCATGGCTAATCGGGTCATGAAGCTGGCCTAGCTTGCTACAGATCTCTGCCCTCTATCTTTTCAATTGTCATTTCCATATCTGCAGAAGTCTATTTAATAATTCCTGTCTGAAGTGTTCCATTCCCCTGACACATTCCATGCTTCCTCTAGGCTTCCCTAACTCCTTAAGCAGCAGGCAGGTGACTAACCAGTGTAATCCACACACCATATTACTCTATATGGGACAAGGCAGTTTCTAGTACCTGTCAATGTGCAAGTATGTACCAGCGTGATGAGAATATTTCCTGTGCTGCCCACAGGGCATGCAGTTTGCTCCTTGAGAGCCAACAGTTCCAGTTATTATCTATGAGCATTAGTCTGCATTAGTCTACGATGAACATCAGCAACCTGCAAGTTGTACAAGCACCCCTAAGCCCACCCCATACTCCCTGCCTGCTTCCCTATTGTAATCCTGCTGTTTCAGAGTTCAGTGCTCCTCTCACTGGGAATCACAGCAAAAGTTTTAGAAGTCTAAATTACACCTGCCACTCCACAACATGCAGAAACATGCAACCGCGTTGAAAAGTGGTTGATAAACACTTTGAAAACTTCAAAGTGTGTCAATGAAGCAGTTACACAAACTTAGAAATAGCTTCTGCCTCTACCTGCCTCCTGCCTCCAGAAAGAACTCAAAAATACAATTCTCAGCTCTTAGAGAATCTTTTCCTATCACTGCCATCAAATAACAAACACTATAGCATTAAGGTCACCTTGTCCATGATGAGGTACAGACACAAACTCCTGGAACATGGGAATACTCAAGATGTCCTCCATGAACTACCCACCATTAGATGCCAACAATCTCACAGAAATGAAGGTGGGGGGATCATTACCAGGTAATTTTGAAAGCAATCCCCAGGTGAGACATGCCATACAAAGGGAGTATTATATGAAGAAGCACATAGGTCTGGCAGACGGAGTGAGATCTCGTCCACGCCCCCAAATGTACCTCCGCCTCCAACACAAACCCATGGGAAACTATTTTTTTGGTAGGAAAAGAAAGTAGAAAAAAAACCAAGCTAACCACGTATAATCCTCTAGTTAGGTGCTTAACTTATCTTCGCATCTGTAACACAAACGAAGGCCAGAGTCCACTCAATTATCCCTCGCAAGACTTTTCCCTGAACACTCATTAGGGATGATTCAGCAGCTTTCCTGCCAGCCCTGATGAGGCCATCTCCTCTGCAGGCAGGCCATCTTGCAGGGAATTGGAGCTTGAAAAATTACTCTTTTTGTTAAAGAGATTCATTTAAAATAATTTCAGTTGTGAGACCTTTTTTTTTTAAAAAAAAAAAAAAAAAGAAAAGAAAAAGATTAATTTTTCGGCTCTTCAATGTTGATAAGTGTCTCTTCAGCACCTGTAGTTGACTATATCAAGGAGAGGCAAGTCCACGTAACCAGACATGATAGGCTGTCAGATACACTATATGCTGCCAGACAAGCACACAAAGGGAAAAAAATGACGTTTTGACTAATTTCTTTCAGCTCTGACTGGCAAAAGACACAATATGCAATTCTAGCAGGTTGAACATGAGGCAAAGAAATTTCCACCTAGATGTTATCAAGGAATCTAACTGTTAAAAGTCACTACCTGGTTATTCTAGCAGCCATCCCTTAAAACACTAAGAAAGTGATCAAATAAATACTCTTCCTCACAGCATTTTCTCTGTTTGGCAGCCTTTTGTGGCGAAGCCTTAGCTTCACCATTTTCCTGATATAGTCAATTATTTAGTTACTCTTTTATGTTTCTTTCACATAGTACAAAGGTAAAAATATTTTGTCCAAAATCAGGACTAGGATTAAAAAAAAAACATAAAATATAGCTGAAGACTTGGATAAGTATATACTTGGAACAACTTTTGAAAATTATTAGGTTTCAGATCAGGGACATACCTTCAAAGGTTCCATGTAAAGACATGTAAATCATTTTTACTCCTAGAACAGAAGTTAATGAGCAAGCCAAGATCTCAGCTACACTGGTAGTGAAAACGTGGACAAATATTCCCCAGGAAATTTGAGAGGAGACTACCAAATTCCCAAAAATATGAAAGAACATCCTGATGCAAAACACACTGGTATTCACATTAAAGACAGACACAAAATCATAGTCAACTAGTGAATTTTCAGCCTAATTAGATTTTCTTAAGCAGCTGGAAACACAATTTAGCAACCAGTGAAGTTCAGAACAAAAGAGAACCTATCAACTGCAGTTAACCAAAAAGAGAACTCTAAAGGATCTGAGGCATGAAAGTATGCTACAATACACTGGCAACCACCAAACTGACTCTAGGAGCCAAAGAATAGCAAATGAAAGCAGCTACTCTACTTAAGGACAAAGATTATGACTGCATTACTACAGGCTTTGCTTGTAGCGCTGCTTACAAAGGGCAGCGTCAGGCAGCCATCATATAAAACCTTTCTTCAAGTTGCTTTCAACCTTGCCAGATGAGCTACTCAAGCTGAAATTTCCCTTGCTACACGTCTGCCTCAGGTTGGATTGTACTTTTTAACCATCAGCACAATTTCTTCTGGGTGCCCAGTTTGAAGACATCTAGGACAATGCTTTCCAAAGCACTCAACCTCAACTCAATACTCTACAGAAAGCTACTGCAAAGAGCAGAGGACAAGTCTTACGTACTCACAGCACTCTACCTTGCTAAAGACAAACTATAGTACACAGGGATCCATAGCTCAGGGATGGGACTACACTACATACCTCTCCACCATTTGACCTGAATGTTGCAACGAGACTTCTGGTCCTTCCAGTCTGCCCTCATCAGTAACCCTACCCATACCATTTTCCCTCATGGCCATATACTGAAACCGAACTCCATGTTCCTGTTCCATGCTACCACGGCACAGATTGCTGAACAGAATCTGTAATTCATGATTCTGACAACATTCACAGGAATGAGAAATTAACAGGGATTACTTTGACACTAAGTGTAGCTCCTGTCTTTGCCTATTCTCTAGGTCTATTCATAATTCAAAACAAGATCTATGATAAAACCAGGTAGGTTTTGGAGCATGCCCCCTCCCAGTAATTCTGTTGAGGAGTGGGTATTCCAGCACTTTCCCATTTTTTGCCAATCTAAGTATATTAACATATTCCTAATTATGGAAAAAAATAAGATTGATCATTAAAGCATCATACCTCATGCAAAGAAAAGCCAAATTAGGTGGTTTTTTGACATTTGAATGTTTCTTTTTCAAGGTAATGAATAACAGAAAAAAATGGGAATACACCACAAAGTAGCACAACCAGTTTAGAAAAAGGAAGAAGATGAATAACGTTTCTCAGAGAGGAATCAGTCAAAGAGATAGAAACAGACTCTCTTGGAAATAATAGCTGTGATGTTTCAGTTCATTCTTTGGTCACAGCTTCAACATCTCTTCTGGGGATCTGTGCTCTTTCAGTCTGCTAGTCAGGTTCTGAATCACAAATTCAGTCTGAAGCCCAAGATGACTGACAGCTCTCTCTACTTTGGAGATTATGTATAAACACACAGTCACACGCACAGTGGCAAACATGCAAGTTCGGCACAACAGTAACTCTTCCAAAAGGACATTCCTCAGAATACTGTCATGAAGGAAATGCAAATCCCCTAGGTAGTTTCTTTCATGCTTGCACAAAATGAGCTGTATGAATATCATACATGTTTGATTATACACATATGTCAGAGACAGATACAGTTAGCATAATATGACTACCTAGTAAAACTTCTGTAGCTCTATGCCGATACTCTGATAAATGTTGTGTGTACTGCTAAAAACTGTACTGTAGGCTGCCTTAATAATCTAGAGGCCAGTGTAAATTAATAAAGTAGAGAGAAGTGATGTTTCTGTTATTCAGAAGAATACCTACCTCATACTTTCTGTAGTTGACCAGCAAGGCAAGAAGGACAACAGCATCATAGCCGTGTTCCCTGCGACTAAGTGGGCTGGACAGGATCTGGAATAAATAATCACACTGTTCTGCTCAGGCCTGCTTCAGGAAGCTTGCAGTGACCCTCAGACAGTATGTAGCTGTGAAATGTATGCGTAAGAGCAAATTACGTCCTAACTGAAAGAAGATATTTGAGGGAGTTGAGGGAGTGTCAGTGCTTCCAAGAAGTTCTGCACACAGAGAAGCTTATTTATCACAGAGAAGATGTACATAGGCTTTCTGGGCATAAAGGGCAAATACATTTCTCAACAGCACTGGACAGTATCTCGGTGCATCACCAACATTATCTGTGCAAGTTTTCTGGGTTTTCCCAAGCCCAGTTCCACTTCTAGAAAGTATAATTTATCAAAAAGCAGAAAAAACCTCAATGTATCCAGACTGCCTTTTGAAAAAAGTTCCTCCGATACAGGAATTCTCTGTGAAATTAGCACAGAAATCTGTTCAGCTTCTATCTATGCACAAATGTTTCAAGTGAAAATACTTGAAATACTCAGTAGTGACTAAAAACAGCAGACTAGAGTAAGGAGAAGACAGCTTTAAAAAAAAAAAAAAAAAAATCTATGAATGAGCTATGAATGGAAGCAACACACACTGCCAGTCAGCTATGCTGCACTGAAAAACCTGAAAAGCAAATATATCACTGAAAGCTGTCACTATGGAAGAAGAGCCCCAGAGTAGAAGGAAAAACCCTTACCTGTAAAATAGCTTCAAATATGCTGTTAATCATCACATACTCCAGGATGGTGTTCTGGCTAATGTTATCTGTCACCTGAGTACAAACACAAGTTTTAAAATCTCACCCAAAGCCTCCCATGATGCTGTAGCTGCCTCTGGCACACACCGGGAACAGAAGAGTTCTACTACCAGATGGACACATTTATCCAGAATCTCACACTTAGTCAGCTAGTCAAGGTGTGACTAGCAGTAGAGCTAGACATGAAGCAAAAGAAATCTGTCCTGCCTCCCACCCCTCTCTCTGGCAAGAAGCATGACCCACGTACTAAGAGCTCTCCCTTTCGTCTACAGATTGATATTTTACACAGCTGCATGACAACAGCCATCGGCAGCTGAAGCAGGCTGCTACACAAAGAATGAAAAAACAGGGCGCATATGCTCCACTGAGCACTTTTCCATCATAAACAGGGCAGTGAAGACCTCCCTCACACTCCATTATCTCTTATCACAGCCCAAATAGTTCACAGTTGACCATCTCCAAGAGATGATGAGTGGCCATTTGTTCCAGCTTCCTCATTCTTCACATCCTCACCACTCTTGTCTGCTCCACCTTCCTGTCTTTTCCTCAGCCCCTCTCCTCTGCTCCCTTTCCTTTTATCTGAGACTTATTAAAAATCTTTTTCCCTAAAAAAACCCTGTGAATCCAACTGACACTTCTTCCTGTGTCTCTCCCCTTTTGCCCCAGTTGGCACCTATCTTATGAGGTGAAAAGTCTGCTAGTCTGTATTGGCATCGTGGTTAGAGCAATGATGCATATTCTGGGCTGACCCTTGTTCTCATTCACAACTTCTTTCCCCTTCTTAAGCTTCACACTGCAGCACTCTGCTCAAGTTTTGGGACAGTTACATCCCTCAAGATGTGGCTCATAGAAGCCTTTAAGTTATTGTACAGCTGGTATTTATTTACCGTCACCAAGCAGAGAAGTAGCTTCAGACACAAGCTTTTGAGGCTTTCAGAACCTTCTGCACAGAGGAGCGAGTCCAAGCTCTCCATCAGATTCTAAAGAAGAACAATCACATTATTTAAAAGTAATATTTAAAATTATTTGAAATGCTTGTTACAAAAAGCTTTTTGGGAGATTCAAATACAAGACCACCAATATAAAGCCATGTTATTCCAGAACCAATAATTGAGCCATTACTGCTGTTACGCAGACCATATTCACACTATTGGTTCTCAACATTGTTTTGTGGTAAGTACCTGTTAATAACTACAGGCATAACATCATGATCATTTTCCAAGAGTTTTCTCTAGATGTGTGAGAGATTTTTGAATACATGTAACAATAGATTTTATTCACAAAGTAATTCTGAGTTCTACAAATATGATCTTCCTTTTTGTTTGCAAGACAGTAATAGCAGTGCTTTCTTTTTTCAATACTCCATTTTACTTATAGGCACAAAGAGATTTTTTGTAAGCAGCACACCTCCAATTTAACAGTACATATATTAATTATGATTAAAAATAGATACTATATAGCTGTTTGACAGATATCCATAAATAATTGTTTTCCAAATACAAAGTTACACATAATACAGTTATTCTTAAAGGAAAAATGTAGTTCTGATAGGCAAGTTACTAGTTAATATTTTCCCAAAATGTACTGCTATTTGTAGAGAGATGAAAAATTACTACTTTTTGTAGAGAGATGAAAGATACAACAGGAATTCAGCTTTACCACTGATTACTTTGTCATTTTCCAAAACTCATCATCTTTACAGTGAAGAGCATCAAATAAATTTAAAACAGTACATGTGCTTATGGAAATGTGAGAACACAGGATATGCCTATCAGCTGAAAATTAAGCACAAAGTATGAGGTTCAATACTAGGTACTAATGGCCTGTGACAGCCTTTTCTGGCCTTAAGATTTCTTAACCATAGTGACTGCACAGCATGGAATTAAAGGAAAAGAAAGAAAAGTGCTCTGTTATATTACTAACAAACAAGGGGACCCCAAGTGTCTTTGTGCCACTAGCAGGTAAAGAACTTCAGGACAGTTGTTTTTAATAAGTGGCTGGAATATTTCCCCCAAAAGCTGCACTTTGGTAGACACACCTGTCTACAAATCACTGCCCCTGCAACACGGCTGCTGTGCAAACTGTTTCTCTATGTTGCCATGGCCTCACCTTCATACATAGCTCTGCCTTATCAAAACCCACGAGCATGTTGATGATGTCAAACCCAGAAGTGGATTTGTTCTTCTGATGGACACCCCGAATCAACGCACACAAAGTCTGCAAAGGGAAAAATCAGAGGGTAAGATGTAAGGCAACACCTACAACTCAATATCAAAACCTGCCCCAAGACCCGCTCCTAACACTGGCAAAGCACAGATATTTAAATGAATACCACCAGGCTGGAAGCCACACATTTTGTCTGACCTCTCCTCCACCTCTGTTGTTTCTAAGGAGGATCTTGTATGCTGAAAACTCAAAAATTAAAGAAGAATATACTTGTCCGTATTTTTCCTGTTTGTTCACCCCTTCATTTCACAGCACTCTGAGGAAAGGTAATCTTACTGCTTCTTCTGTCCAGACCCAGTTTGTACCAGACAGGACCACTATCTTTGGAAAAAAGCTAAGTGCAGCTTTAAGGCCAAAAATATTGATCAGGAAACTGCAAGGCAGCAGCAGTGTCCAATATATGGACAGAGATGCCTTAATGCCTTCCAGATTTATTTCTTATTTCAAGTATGCCCAAACATACAACATCCATACAATCACATAATGCCTGTCCATACAGCAGGTGTTTTTGCTATAGAGAGCACAAATTTCTGTTTGGTTACCACACTGCTATACTAAGTCTGACCAATAAACTGTCTCTTTGTCAGGAAAAAAAAAGGAAAAAAAAAAAAAAAAAAAAAGAGGAAAAAAAGTCTCCAGGGCTATTAGGTAGCTTAAGTTTTCCTAACTACCACAGGGGCTCTAAAAACCTTCAAGTAAACGTAACCTCCTTCACGTTTCTTGTTGCAGGCACTGGATTACTGATTCATACCAAGTTCGTGGAGATCACTGGCAACACATAGGTATCAGCACACTATGCTTCCAGCAGACACTCTGGAAAATTTATGGACAGCAAACGTCTCATTTGCCCCAAGAGAGGGAAATGTCTGTGGTGACTTTTGTCATCAGGCACCTTTCAGGTCTCCGGTGAAGAGGGGAATGAGCAGGAACATAACCGCTGAAGTTTTAGACTCCAGCTTAAAATGACTTCTGAGAAGTAATTAGTTTCAGAAGATGTAAAGCTGGAGACAAGCAGACCTCAAGGAATCAGCAGACCTCTAGAACCATACAGAAGCAAAAGGGTAAGGTAGACATCCTTTTTTTCGTTACTGTCAGAGACAGGATACTGAGCTAAACAAACCTTTGGTCACCATGGTCATTCTCAAGAAAAGATTGCTTAAGTAAGTTTTGGCTTCAGGATCACTTTCCACATGAACACAGTCTGATTAAGGGAACGTTCTCCCAGCTCAAGCTCAGGATGTGTTACCTGGTTCCTATTTAGACTCATACAGCAGGATTCTAGACTTGAGCCCTGGCCTAACTTTTGCAAAGAGCCTGAATACAAGTTTGGGAATTCAGGGCTGGGCTAGACTGTCTATATAGTTATAACTACAATATTTAATAGCATCCTTTCAAACTAATTCTAAAAATAATAGTAATAATAAAACAACACGAGATTTATGTCAGAGGCGTACATATTCTGTTTTAAATCAACTTTTCCCAGCTTACCGCCAGTCCAATGTACCCTACAGGTGACTTCTCCAAATCTGAAATTCATATCCTGTATTCCTACAGCTGAGAGAAGCTGAGGCAAATGCATTCACCAAATTCTAAGAATCAGCTTGTGAACTAATAACATCAAACATCAAGGCTGAGGAGGGGAGTCTCCCGCACAAGACATGGGGCAGCATAGCTTTGGTAAGGAGCAACCTGCAGGAAAATGGCTATTAATTCTGGGTGACAATTCTTCACAGCTTCCAGTTAGGAAGCGTCCAGCAGGGAGAGTCCCCTGTATAAATTTCACACTAACTTCTCCAGAGCTTTATTTCATTTTCAACCCATACAGAAATCCAAAAAGGAGGCTGAAATGAAGGAGAACAAGAGAAAGTAGAACACAGACAAAGCTACACAGAGTACTCTTGAGCCCCAAACTGACAGCCTACAGTGTGAACAAGCCTCTCTTGTCCCCCCATTGCCATCCGCTTCATCCTGCATCACCGGATCCTCTTAAATTCTGTAACAAGCTATTGTTCTTCAAAGACTAAAGAGACTATGAATGTTTGTAACCTCCACAGACAATAAGTAGACATCATTTCTCCTCAGAAGTAAAGAAATGAGCATAAGATGTTTGATGCCAGCAACAAATATATTGCCTCATCAGAAGCAAGAGAGAGTATTCCCTGTCTCTCAGTGTGGTACCTGTAATGCATTGACCACTCTGATTGGGTGCTCCTCACCCAGTGCCTGGATGCAGTGCTGAAACAAGCAGTTGATGTTATCTTTTATCTTCATTAACTCTTCCCCATCCAGAGCCTCCAGCTTGCCTTCTAGATATTCCAAGTTGACCTGTCAGGTTAAGAAGCAGTTCATGCATGTTACACAACCGCTGACACCTTAGAAACGCAAGAACTTGCACTGACAGTCTGCCACTTTGTAGGCAGAACAGCAGCAGCAAATCAGGGGATGTTCAATTCCTGTTACCTTCATGAGAAACAGCTCCTCCCAAAACCTAGGGTTGCATTTACTGGGGTCCTCTGTCTGAAAGGAAAAGGAACAGCCATGAGAGCAAACAAGAAGAAACCATTCAGGCAGAATTTAAAGCAAATCATTATCATGAGTAGGTCAGAGTCAGCATCATCCCTCTGGATGATAAGTGGTCTCACAGTATAGAATTCTGTCTACACAGATTCCCAGAAACAGAGAGACAAACAGATGCAGTTCTCAATTGGGATGCCTCTGTTTATTTTCTGGATTATTTTTTGAGAAATACTTAAAAAGCCGTGACTTCCTGTAGACCACAAATGGTCCTGAGAGACAACAGGACAAGGTGACATTAAGGAAGAGAGCAAAATACAGAGCCCTGCACGACAGTAGGAGAGCCTGAAGCGTGTTCCTACACTGTGCAGTCCTTACCTTGGGAAAAGAATCCACCATACAGAGCCCTCAGCACAAACTAAACAAAGAAAATTTAACACAACACTTTAGAAAGAAGAGATACTCAAGGCCTTACCGTAAAAATCTCATCATACATCAACACAACTTTCTCCTTCAATGGCTTCTTGGAGGCTGAAGATTTCCGGAGCAGCCCACCTTTTTTCTCTGTTTGGGCCATGCTGTATACCCTGAAGGTAAGAATAGACAAAAAAGGCTAAGGAAACTTGAACTTTTCTTCAAGGCATATCTGGCCTGCCTCAACCATGAAAGACTTTTTCACTGCACTGAAATACTAACAGTCTTTCACAAGCTGAAAGTAGGGGCTTTAATAACTATACCAGATAAGAAATCAGATCAAAGGTCCCATCTAGTCCTACATCCCATTTCAAAGAAAGATGCAAAAGTCCAGACACGGGCAGATACAGAATGAGCTCCTTACAGATAAATTTGCTTAATTCTTCTCTGCTAGAAACTGATTCATGATCCAGACCAATGCAGTTTACATCTAGAAAAGTATGTATATTTTAATCTCATTGCATGAACTGTGATACTTGTTATCAAATGGATACCCAGTCCTTTTTGACACTGGTCAAGCCTCAAGGACATCTTGTGACAAAAAGCTCCTGAAACGGTTTGAAAAAATCTTCTCTTATCTGTTTAATTTGCTGCCTACCAATGCACTTCAAATTCTGCTTTTGCACTCTGAGGTGGCGTCCAACACTAGCAAACATTTGGCTGCAAAGCCTCCCTAAAGCACTCCTGCCACCCTTGCTCATCCCTTCCTCTGTACCTTGGCAACCCTCAGTTGTGCCAGCTGCTCTGCAAATCAAGCCAGAGAGGAACCCCAGCCTCAAAAGCATCACATGTGGTTTAGTTTTGGGAGGAGGATGGAGGAACACAGGGGAAAAGCGTTGCAGGGATTTTTTTTTTTAAACTAGATGAATTTCCTGATCCATTTGACAGCAAAGGGTTTTCTAGAAACACAAACAGGTTTTTATTATAATTAATTGGTGTCTCATGCTTACTGGTTATCCTATTAAAAAAAAAAAAGAAGTATCATTATTACAAAATGAGCTGTTACAAAAAGTAATAGCGATAGCTGTAGTCCCGAATCTTCTGTGACAGTCAACCCATTCCAGGGGCCGAGAGTCAGAATGCATGACTTGCCATATACCCTCAACCTCATGTCTGATGCTACAGAACACATCACCACTCTGAGCTTGCACATATGTATTTATCTGCAATCACAGATTTTTCTGGCAAGCATCACAGCTTTAGCACTGTTCTAACATCCTGTTAGCACTGTCAGAGGTACTTAGCAGAAAGGGAACGCCATCCCTTCTCATATCCCTGAGCTCCCAACCTTTCTCCCATACCTCCAAAGGTAATTACACACACAGCAGCAGCATACCTCAGGCAGAGGCTTAAGTCATGCTCCAGAAAAACATGGGTAGGCTCTTGTGGTAGCTGCACTCAGCTATGCTAAATTATGCATAGAGAGGTAAGTTCACTGCAGTCAGCATCTAAGACCCCAGAGCTTTCTGAGCTGGCGGCCACGGAGGCAGCTTTGGATTTAGCCTCCATCCCAGACTGTTTGGACCCCTTCCACAACCATAGCACATTTAGATCTGTCCTTCCCTCAAAGAGCAAGTTCCAGCAACTACTGAATGCCAGTTCCAGATCTCTTCTACATTCTTTCCACTGCAGACAGCTTTTGATTGTCTTAAACTGCAGTTATGTTCTCAACTAGGACTCTCAGGCTCCCAGAGTTGGTTATTCAGATATCCACCCCTTGAGCCCTAAGTCTCAGTTCTAAGTGGCAGGAAAACATCTTTGGGCCTGGAGAAACAATGCTGCTGCAAAAGACTCTACCCCAGGTGTGAAGGGAAGGAGCTTTGCTTGGATGGGAAAGCAAAGGGTAAGACAGAGAGCAGCAGATCTCACACCTGAAAAGCTGAGATTTATATAGAAAGGCAGAGAGGTGTTCTATCTTCCCACTAGAAAGGGAATATGCACGGCTGGCTGGTTAAGGCCTGGTGCATGTGCTGGAGTGAGAATGGAAACAGCCCCAAGACACGCTGACAGAAGAAAGCTTAGCAACTACTGCACCACAACCTTCTGTAAATACTGGAATTATTCCTGTAGCCTAGTAGGTCTATATATCCAATTAAGATGGAAAAAGGTTTCAGTCTAACAAATGAAAAAGAAAACATTATTCAATCATCTTGATAGCTTCTCTTTTACAGACTTTGCATTATTTTTAAACTGTCATGGGAAATAAGACATTATTCTAATTAGAAATATAATTGGAAACAGAGAGAAATCTATTAAAAACCAAATCAAGAATGATGTCACTTTTAGCCTAGCAACACAAATCTTACCCAAGATTGCACAAAACATTTTCCCAACTAGAACTGTAAGTTTCTGAACCTAAAGCAGCTGCCAGCCCCAGCATACAAACACATCCATCAGCATGCTTCTAATTGAATTACAGCTAACGAATCACAATGTCAAAACTAATAAACTAACTCTCAGTGCTTCTAGGTCAGCATTCTCACAGCAAATGTGTATGTGAGTGGGAAGGGATCAATACATTCTGCTTAGTCCCTGGACTTTGAGAGCCGCATTTTAAGACTTTTCCTACATTTCCAGAAAGACAGAAAAATCTAAATACCACAAGACACAAAGGCTTGATGTTGGGTAAGCACCAGAGGGATTGCATGATCATGTGAAAATTCTAGTCTCTGTCAAAAGGGGACTTGGGATTCATATTCTCTCAACCAAAGCTGCACAGAGCACATACAAAGACTGCTAGAGGCAAGGATTAAATAATGTTCTTGTTTATAATTTGCTATTCTACAAATGAGCATATGGAGGAGCAAGGGGAGAAAAGTAAAAGTCGCCTTTCATGCCAACGCTTTATTAGGCTGTGCTTGTTCCATGACCTATGATGATCAGACTGTACAAATCGCTTTTTCTTTTCACTTTATGCAATTACATTTTCTAGATGTCATAAAGACAGAAAAAGGAAACTGCATTTTGCTAATGGGGACCTTCTAGGCAGCTGCAGAAAACAACAGTTAAATGCACAAAACATTTATAAATAAGTTGTAGAGGTGTCAAATCATCAGGACACCATGACAGCTTATGAAAACAATGACTCTGAATATAGTTAACAATTATCCTTTAAACGTATCACATTTAAAAAGCATCAGTGCATTTTCCACATTTTAGGTTCAAAAGGATAATTCATTCTGTCAATAGGTCAGTCCCATTAACACATGCTGCTAAGGGAATCCTGCTGTAGTCACTGACTGCACAGGAGAACTACCCCTCGGGGCCAAGAGAAGCACACGCACGTGGATTTTTAAAACAGCAAGTACTCTGGTGTGCAGCAGAAGATCCAAGATGCTTCATCTGGAACTAAAAGAAACCTCAACAGAGCACAAGTCTTGCCAGCTCAAAGGCAAGAAGATAAAAGCCATGGCAGACAGAAGTTCAGGCAGACTCTTGCTTTATCTATCATCAACCCCGGGATCAGCTGATCCAGTCAGGAAGAAAGGGATGAGCACATCCAACCATCCACCTCTTTTCCATTTCATTCCAGAACTCATAGCAGAGATTCCAGCCAAACATGTGACATTCTGATGAACAGGTCTCTGTTAGCTTTTCATTAGAATACCCACAGGAGAAATGAATGTGACATTTTGAGTCTGAGGTTTACTCATACTTGTGCACATTGAAAACTGTGGCTGCTCCACATTGTCACTCAGCTCCTGTACAGACTTCTTATTATTCCATAGATCATCTTATAATAGCAAAAATACTACTGCAGAGAACATAACACTAATGCACATCTACATTATAATGACATCAGGATCCAAAACTTGTAGCTTCTGTAATCTTGCATGCAGCCCATCAAGCACTGCATTTTGCATTTAATTGCTCAGGCTAAAAAACCTGAAAGTTTTCAAGATTACAGATGTATATACACAACCCCCACATACAACCAAACATGAATAAATGTATTTTTTTCAGTGTGGACCCCTCAAAAAATATACTGTAACATTTCTTGGCTAAATAAAAAGAAAACAAACAGATGACATAAAATGGTATTTTCACATACTGACTTACTTGGCAAACGCCTATCTGAAAAAGGTAGTGCAAATGATGTGATCTGTATTAGTTTGTTAACGCCAAAGCCCTGGACCTCAATTAATATTTATAAAGATAGTAATAAATATTAT